ATGGTAAAGTAATAAGATATGATGTCCTTTTATATGTACAGAAGGATCCAAAACAAAAATGTTGTAATTATATCTGTTCTTAGTACTCCTGACGCAAGCATTATACTTTTAGAAATCTAATTCAATTATTTAAGGTGCACTATTTGATAATTGGGACAATTTTGTAACTGCATTAAATATTGATAGGAAACATAATTCTAGTCATAGTGTCATAGTATGTCAGAGGGAGAGTGTTGGGTGTTGTACATGCACCAAAAGTTCCTTCAACATTTTATAATAATAAGTGCAATCAATAGGTCATTTACTGAGAGGCTCATTTAAAATTTGCCTTTTTTCCCCATCCATAAAATAAACAGTTTTTGTCACAGTGCACTTTGATTTGTACAGACGGTGTCTAAATGGAAAATTTCAGACCCTATATTCCCAAATGCAAAATTTTAATGGTGTTGATCCCAGCCTTGACCTCAAACTACACTGACAAAATTTGGAAAGGCATTGGTACTCTTTACGATTAGACCCACTGCCAAAAAAAGAAGAATGGACCCCAATGATGCTTTTTAATTGGGTAGATTGGAAAAGTACAGGTTGATAGCATTTTCAAATGACTGAATGATTGACAGCACACTATATGATAAGCTGAATTATACACGCATTTTAATTGCTTCCTGCTTTTATTGGAAGACAGACCCACAGATGATGTCACCATTAACAACATTCCATTTTTTTTTCATCCTATAAAACAAATAGTACTGTAACTGATGACAAAAGACACAAAAATTTGGTAAAAGCATGCTGCTCCTCATGTACAACATTTTTTGTTTTCACCACATTTTATATCTTCTGTGATCTTTTACTGAAAAGATGCATGGCAATATGAGATCCTTAATTTGTACACCATCACAGGAACAGCGAACTATTAAAAACTGAGGACCACTCCATACAAGGTGTATCGTTAAAACACTGTTGTTACACTCATTCATCATTATCATTCAGTAAAGGCCACCCACACATTACAAAATTCTGAGACAAATATCTATTTCTATTTAAATTTTTTAGTGATTGGTAATGATGAATAGCAAAAATGATTTTTTAAAAATGTAACTATATACAACAAAACATTTTATTGCTGTCTTTTATAGTTAAATATAAAATAATTCCAATAATAAGAGGTTTTGATAGATACATTAGCTAAAACTGACAGGAAACTAGGCATTTCTGGTAAATTCCTACAGACAATTTTTGCAATGGCACAAGTAACAGAAAATTTAAAGTTAAATTTAATATTTCATGATAGAGAACTAAATTTGACCTCACAATTCTTATTAAAATAGATTGCATACCAGTGATTAAATGACTATAAGAAACATTAAGTTGTTTTTATTATAAATGAAGAGACTTCGGACTTCCTGGATAGAAACCTCCCTTTGAAAGACTGAAGGCTTCAAATGCATGGTCTGGAGACAGTTCTAAGGAAACACAAGAAAAATTGTCAAGAGAGCGGTATTTGGTTTAGTAAAACTTTTGGTGATAAGTCACCACAAAGTTGTTCTTTTCAGGTAAGAGAAAGGTATTTTCTCAAAGAAAATTTAAACAGAGCTTTGTCATTGTCGTCTTATCTTAACCCTTTAACTCCCAAGATATGATTGTTAATTCTCCCCTCTAGCTGCTACACATTTTTCTGTTAATGAGCTTTAAGAATTTGGTGTTAGATCAAGCTAACAACTTCTACCTGCTAAGTTTGAGTATCCTCATTACCTGCTTGCCAGATAATGTACAGACATTAAAATGGGAAAAGTAACAACTGTTTAGAATTGAAAGGGTTAAATTCCAAATTTATATTTCACAGGTTTTTTATTTGCAATTTATGTACATTTTTTTTTACCTCTAGTGGGAACCACAACTGTGTATAGTTTTAAATTGTCTGCAACATATGGCTGAATGCATATGTTGCATATCATGTGAAAACAAGGAACATAATTCACACTAACCTGTGATGAAATCTAGCCGTGGAATTACAAAAGTGCTATATTTCTGTATCAAATCTCCCCAGAAAGTATTGATTTGTTTCCTTCCAGATGTTTTCACAAGGTCATGATCTCCATCTAACTTACAATCAATAATTTTATCTTGACAAGTATCAGCATGCACAAAGAATGAACCCCATTGCTTTGACAACAGAACCTCTTCTTTGCAGCTTTCAATCTCAATGTCCTGCAGGGGACAACAAATATGGCATTGTAACACCAAAATGTCATGCATTAGTATCAATCCACTCAAACACAACATTATTTGGGTGTAAAGTAAATTAAATCTGTTCTTGTTTGAACTTCTACAGTGAGTGGCAAAGTTGGCATACCTCCCAAAACTAGGTTGGTCTGCAACCCCCACTCAACCTAATAAACAGAAATCTTGAAATTCATCTAGAAAACAAATTGCAATAAGAGAAAGGGGGAGATAAAAGAAAGTTATAAAAAAAAATCAAAACATAGTAGAATGTACCAAGACTTTTGCCACTCACTATAGTCCGGGACTTAATTGAATTTCAGCCAAAATGTTTAATATTGTGGCTTTTACAATTCAACATACTTGCACAGACAGTCTTGCTTTCTTTGATTTTGGACCATCCTCAAGACAATCCTGCTGATGAAAACATTGTAAAAACAACAACAAAATCACCATTTTGAAAATTGTGCATCCATGTATTTAATGTGTGAAGTATATAAGGTGGAAGCCTTGGCTTCTACTGAGAATATAACAAAAAGTAACAACACCATAACTGCTCATCACTGTAACAGTTGAACTCGGAACTTCACTGCCTCTTTCACTGAACAGACTTTTAAGTTAAGCTAAGCTGTATATAGTTGATATCAACATCAGCTAACCTATCTCTAGTGAAAAAAATAGACTTTTCCAGCAAGGATCAGGCCACAACAGTTCTTCAGTTTACTGAGAAATTTTCAAGACAGTCAAATTCACTGACTCAAAATGGGGTTTTCTACATTATGTAGGTTACCAGACTGATTTTGAAATACACTTCAGAATGCTACCAGTAGAATGCATATTTATTTAAAATCTATCAAATAAGCCATGACATGACTGGCATAAAGTCAAAACTATTTCAATCAGCAACTATTCTGTATCCTGAAGCGGGATGAAAAAGAATACCTGATCTTGACATGTAACCATTCCTTCAGATTCCATCTCTTCCAGCACAGTAACAACATTCCAATCACCAAAGACTACTGATGGATACAGATCTGATCTGATGCTGTCTCCAAAGTACAAGACCTATATGTGTTGTATAATTAAGAGGGTCAAAAAAGGTAATGTACCTGTTGCCAATTTTCAGACAAAGTGAATTGGTGATGACAGATTTCTGTACATTAGGCATATGTTCACAGATTGATAGAAAACAAATTCACTCTTTGTGTAGTGTGGTATGTTTCAGAAAGAGCCTTCAGCAGCAATGTTGATTTTGTTGCACTATGTAATTCTGCTAACTGAAATTCTTTAAGAGGACCGTTGGCTTCCAAGCTTCATTACTTTGGGAACTTAGGAGCATGTTATTTTGGCTGTATTTTTAAGTTTGATATGAGTAAGCTGAGCCTACAACTACAGTTACAGTAATTACCTTCGGCGTATCCTGGTCTGTCTGCTTTTGAAGAAATATGGTTAAATCCTTGTGATTTCCTTTACTGTACATCTTGTTTTCTTGAAGCTCTTGAACAGGGCATACTTCCTTTTCACCATCTGAAGGTACCAATTCAAAATTAAGAAACATATAATACAGTAACTACATGTAGAATAAACACTATGAAACTTTAAAAAATAAACAGAACTCTGAGCCCAACCTTTTTCAAAATCACCATTTCCCAACCTAACTGAACAAAATGGTTGCTTTTGTTGAGATAAATTTAATTCTATTGATAAAGAGGAATTAATCCAAGGCTTTGATTTTAAAGCAATATTACAAATACATATTAAATAATAATTATTTAATGCATCTTACCAAGTTCATGGAACTTAATGAGTGGCTCTTCTGACTTGAAAAATCCTTTTTTAGGTTGAAGAGAAAAATATTAAGTACTGACAAATAAAATAATAAACATATACTAATAACTAATTGTACAATGTAAATGTATCACAGTGTATAGGCAACAGAACAATGGTAGCAATTGGTAGCTACTTCTCTTTCACTCCATCAAGTAAGATATGGTAAAGAACTAAATTTACAGGAGATAAAATAAGCAACGCTTATGTTATCAAAAACAAACCTGGTTTGCCTGCTGCACACACAACCATGTCAAACATCTCTGGCCAGTGTTTTCTGCAAAAGAATATTTTTGTAAGATCAGAAGAACTGTACTGGTTAATAATAATTTCTTATTTATGGTTAAAAAGGGTTGTAAGTGGAGTACATCACTGGGAGTATTTTAGTGTCAGGAATTGAAGTGAAAATGAACTGCTGATTTGAAGCAGTTGGTATTAATAATAAATTACTATCTAATGAAAGAATCAAGTCCCTTTAGTGATCACTTTAGTTAGGAACAAAGTAGAAGAAACTCAGAACAGAAAAACATTTAACTATAGCATACAAATGCACTTAAAGATTGTGTTCTCCCCATCTGGATCTAAACATGTCAGAGAGATCGAATCCATAAAGTGGTTATCAAGAAGGCTCCATATGGTTTTTGAGTGTGTGGGATTTGGACACAAATATAGTGTGAGCTTTAAAAATGTCAACAAGTAAACAAACATGGCATCTTGATAAGATTGCACAATTGTTACCTAAAAAGGTGTGTCAAAACAGTATAAAACAATACAGTTTTTATATAAAGTGTAATGGGTTTTCAGCAACTATACCCATAATATCCATAGGCCCTCTAGCCTGAAATAGGGTTTGACAGAAAGAAAACACAGAGGGAAAGATTGCAAAAAGGCAACAGATTCAAAAGGTAAGGTATATACCCTCAGATATCCGTCTTGGCAAAGTCCTATTTTAAGAAGTAATTATTTGGGAGAAAGAAAAAAAGAGATTTTTCAAATGAGATCTATAGTGTTTCCTTAGGTACATTTTTTGAAAATTGGCTCAGTCCTAGCCACATACAGCTGGTATCTAAGACACCATTTGTGTTCAAATCTGTCAGAGCTAATTGAAAATATTTAGAAAAATGAAAAATTAAAGAATATTGCTAAAGCATTTAGGTTCACTCACCCTACTGCATAATTCATAAGAAGATTTGTATAATCTATATCTGAATTGGTGAGAAGGAAGACTGTTTGTTTTGTCTCTTTCATTGACTTGATCCAGTTGATAATTTTCTCAGGAGAAGGTTTTACAAACGTGGATATATTTCTCTTCAGGTTGTAAAAGTACTGTTCTTGTTTGTCTGAGAGAGAAAGGAAAAAAACTCAAACCAAATTCAGATCTTCTGTTACAGAAACAAAGCCTCAGAGTTCTGTTATTTGCCGGGCAAATTATTTTAAAGATAATAATTACAGTTGATCAAATGTATCTGAATGACCACAGCTTTAATTTACACAATCCTTCCTTTAGACTATTTATGATGATAAAATATTGCTACAAAGAAATTTAGTTTCCCACAACTTTTGATACAAGAGTTTCACTGAAACCATAAAACACTGTCTACTGTCTCTTGACTTTTTGTCACATTATGATTAATCACCTACAGGTATTGGTTTGAATCCAAAAAAGGTCTGTCTTATTGAAATGCTCCCATTTTACTAGTCAAGGTAAATTTGATGCCAATGATGCAAGCCACTAGCCTTGGAAAAAATTCATAACAATCATTTTATTAATTTATGGGTTTGATACCTCTTAAAAATAGTAGTTCATTAAAATGACTCACCTATATTGAATGATGAAGGATTAAAAATTTTCCTTAAAGAGAAAATTATATCAGGCCAAAAATTATACTCCTCTGGTTTTCCAAACTAACAGAAGAGAGAGAAACAGGAACTATGTGATATATCACTTTCACTGAGTGTTGAAAAAGGAACAAAATGGTCAACACTTTATAAACATTTAGATATTACAAATATCCTTTTGGTAAACTGTGAAAACCATAAATTTTAAAAAATAATAATCAAATGTATAAATGTTTAATTTGACCCTGTAATACATCAAACATGAGAGGTAGTGCTTGACCCTAAGTTCAACTCTCAAAAAGAGTTGAAAACAGTAAACATCTACATATAAGAACCAGGATATTTCTCAGGCAAGCTGCACGCAGATTTCCATTCTTTGCGGTAGTATTTTTTATAATTGTGACCATAAGTTTATCATTAGTACAAGTTTATTTCTTTTTTTCCAGCCATGGAAACTTTAACTATTAGAGATATGGGTGAGGTCCTTTAACTGCAACACCAACTACAAACATTTTGTTCATCAGGATTACATTTAACAACACAAACTCTTCAGAATTTTCAACATTCTGAACATTACTACTTGGTTGTTTCTTTAATGAAAGGGTGATTCAAACTGTCCCTCTTTGCCAGGCTAAATGGGTATGTATCTTTTGGTGAATTTAAATACCAATAAGATCCTGTAGGCCCTTAATTCACCAGATTCTCAAATACAGAAGTGTACTGTGTCTAAAAAACACTCTTGGTATGGGTTTTACCTTCACAAAAAGAAGGGACATGATTCTGAAGACATCTATCAAATGAATGCTAATACTATAGAATAATAATAAGAGATTTCTTCAATGTAAATACTCAAAAATCATATCTACCTTTTTGTCAGTTATGTCAACAATACGAGCACATATAACCAACACTGGAAGGTCAAAGTAATTTTCAAACACTCTGAAAATGTTGGCTGAAAAGAAATTTGTAAAATACTGTTAATTAATAAATTTATATAAGGTAAACATTTTGTTAAAATGCATTGATTGCTAGGATTTCTACTGATTAAAAACTACAGAACTGTACTGTCTTTAAACATTTAACATACAATGCTGAATGGGATTTTCTTTCAGGATGTTAAACTTTGGCCATATGCATTGTTCCCCATAGCAATCTGTAATCTCTTTCCTTGTCAACTGCTGTGTACCATGTGAAGCCCTGAGGTGAAGAGACATTGATTACATCTTTTCAGAATTACATCATCATAATGTCCTCTTAAACTTGTTCTTTATGGTAAATGATACAGATGCTGCAAGCAGGTGGGCATCACGTCACTTTGCATTTCATACATTCATTTTGTCTCACATAGTTAGGTGACATGCCATGTACTATAAAAAACCCTGCAACTACTTGTTTCAAAAAGCATCTTTTTCCACCAGATTATATTAATTATTGAACAAATTTCCTGTAAGACATATAATAGTTATCCACAACAGATAGATGGTATGTAAGATGTTTCCATTTCTGAAACCTCAAAAACCTTAACCTGATAAAGTGGAACAAATTTATGGTTAGTTCAGGCATCAGCATGCATTCAAAAAAATATCAAGCACATTGTTAGGAACTTTGGAGAGCACAAAAGATGCGTGACAGTTCTTTGCCAAGTAACCACGAACAACTCTCACTAGATTCTTGAGCACGACCAATTAAAGATACTAGGTATATCTTCAATAGCTGACAATACCTTTAAGCGTTTGCACACTTCATCAGTATGCATATTCTCCTTATTGTTCTTTATACATTTCCTAAGGTGCTGACAAGGAGAATTTGATTAACAATCAAGAGATTCTTTAGTTGTTGCTCATTTCCTTTTTTCTTGTTACTTTTATGAGTGATTCAGCTGGGATGAAATTAGACACTAGTCCCTATCATGGGTGATAGCCCATTAGGAAACCTTACAATAACTTCAGGCATATTACTCACCTTAAAATAAAGCCATCTACTCCAAGTTTTAAAATATTTCCCTTTTTGGTATCCAGGACCAAGCCTTTCAGGCTGAAAAATTAGTGAAATACTGCCAACTGTATCAGAATTTAAATAACATTTCACTATAAATTATTATACTTTGTTCGCAGACTACAATGCAAATTTACTACACAATCTTCTGAAAACTCTTTCTTGATTATACCCTGTCCTTCTCCATTCCTACTTTGTTTTGTAAGGTATTTTCTTCTTTTTTTCTTGTATATGTTTTTAATAAATTTCCATGACACTTGAAATTCCTAAAAACCTGTTATAGTATGGATGGAGAGAAGTGATCAAAACAAAAACAAAAACAAAAATACCCCGAGGATGACCACAAGTAAGACATACAATGGAATGTAAAGAAATCTATGGCAATTTCAGACACTGATAGGTCAATTTAGAAGAGCCCATGTGCTTTTGGTTCCTTTGGTGCATGACTTTTGCACCAGTCTAAGTGAGGTGGCAACATTTGTGACCTGTGTAGCAATTTGTTCATCTTTCTTGTCAACACACTCAAAGAATGGTACTCCTGTTGTCAATCAACTATCTGTCAATGCATCAATAGATGTGGATGAAGGCTAGGTTCCAGGGGTTGGGGGGGGGGAACTTCCTAGTAATGGGCTGATGGAGATGTGCCGCTAGATGAGGTTTGCATTTTCACGCCTGGATTAATCTTAAAGGGGTTACATTTCTGATAAAGTTTACACACTTTTGGAATTTTTGGGTTAAGAAAATTCTGTTGGGTAGGGACTTAAAAATGGGAAGCACGGGGGTTCTGAGAGGCCAGCTGCACCTACTCAGTAAACATTGAACCGAGTACCCTTCTGGTTACAATCAATTCTCTTCGTCGTTATTCACATACACAGTCTATATTATTTGATTCCCGGGTGTAAGTCACAAAGGAAGGCGATATTAGCTTGACTTAATTATGGTGCTTCAAACTGCGAATCCAACTCGTACCAGAAATCCTTGAAATCTTCAAAGTCATCCTCCAGCAAGCTACAATCGTACCCTCTTTCTTTCACTAAGACTTGCGCAAAACAACTGTATATCATCTACAACAAGAAGACTGTCTTAGTTGTCAACTAACCATAAGCCTTATTAATAGCAAAGGAATATGCAGAACGAGTACCTCATTCGACTAGTAACTTGGTGACTTACCGGATAAAGATTATCAAGTCTGTACTGAATGAACGTGTGATCAAGATCAAAGCCGATGCAATCATAATCTCTTAGACGGGCCATATTGAGGGACCGCGTCGTGTTCTTAGATGTTGCAAACGCGTGTTAACTGACGCAATGCGCGCCATGCGCCATGCGCGCCTCAAGAGGAAATTCATTTCCAGATCTCCTCTCCTCTTGACCATAACCTCTCTTTCGAAAGAAGTACTGTGGTTGATCAGATTTGGACGGAAGTGTAGAAGGAAGTGACTCCTGGTCTAGAGGTCCGGATTCGAAACCTGGCTCGGTCAGTGTGTTGTGTTCTTGGGAAAAACACTTTCCGCCCAGGAGTATAAATGAGTACTGAGTAATTTTCAGGAAAGCTCGTCTACTTTATTGGTCTCATTAGTGATATAAAAGTATATAGTAAATCAGTGGTAGAAATGAAAAGACCAGAAGGGATTGCGCAAACAGAAAAAGTATCCCAGGCGAGGCACAACCTAAAATCTAAGTTAAAAAAAATCCTGATAAGAGATTAAAGAAAATTTTTAAACATACTTTTTAGACTAGAAAAATGGTCATGAGGGGCGAGGTTGGAGATGATGTTCCAGGGTTTTACAATTCTATTAAAAAAGCGAGGCCTGAAAAGTCACGGCTTCACAGTAAGCAGGTTTTAGTACGAGGGTAGGGTTGTTAGAGTGAGATTGGCCATGTGTGCCAAAAGTAACATATCGATCAATATTTGCGTCTGTACATCCGGAAATACAATTATAGAGAAAAGACAAGATCTCTGAGTTGATGGTAGTAAGCGGAGAGTCAGCAGTCGTTGTTTGTAGGACATCTTGCCAGTTTGAGTTCTTAGTATCAAGTGTGATGAAATATTGGGGGTTACTTTGTAATGGACTAGCATCCCACCACCGGGGGAGTTGTACTATACTACTAGTCACTTCACATTAAGGAAACCAGGATAAGCTCCAGCTGGGTGGGTCAATAGGCTTGAGTACAGACTTTTATAAAGTACCTAACTGTACTCTACAACCACTAAATGAATGACTCAACTTCCTGACCCTCTCTGATCACATCTGTTGTGAATATCACACACACAGATTTATGACAGCATGACTGTCTGGAAATTAACCCTTAAGCCCCTATCTATCTCAATCCTCTGATGAGTTGGAACAAACTTACTCAAAATTCAAGGTCTAATTAAAGTAATATTCAACAGGCAAATTATGATACTTAATTTTGATAAAAAAGGCATTGTTTATTTTTATTAAGCTATGTACAGAAACATGTATGTCATTATTACTGGATGCTACAACTATAAAATTGCAATTTATTAAAGGAGATATTTTTATCAAGGTGTCTTGTTTTCAGAATGAATTTTTTTTCATCATGGACTGCATCTCCATTTTTACATTCATGTACCTTTCAACAAAATACAGATTTTTCAAATACTTGATCTGCAAACTTCAGAAAATGCTAAGAAAGGAGTCTTCTTTTCATACAAAAATAATTTTGTAGCATGCAAACAAAAGTTGTTTTCTTGGAAACCAAGAATTTGTCATGAACTGAAAAAATTGCACAAGCTAGCAGCAACTTTGCTGGCAGAGGCCAAAAGGTTTCAGTTGACCATAAAAATGTCAGAAATAATACTCTACATGAACAAAATGACTTGAATTCCTAATTACTAGCAGAAAGTTTTGAGCTGATAAGAGTTCAAGTTGTTGGGAGTTGAGAACAAATGACCAGAAATAAGGTAAAATACTGTGTTTCCTCAGTGGATTTTTGTTCAAATCATCTACCATAATACACTGGTCAAGCAGAAGTGGAACATGTGAAAGAAGGTTTTAACCAGCAAAGCTTTATGAAGATACTATGTGCTGTAGCTGAACAATTACCTAAAACCCAAAAGGCCTGAATGAGACTGAAATGTAATGCAAAAAAAAGGGACAACACTTCCACAGGGAAAGCCAAAAGGCTTGGATAACTTCAAGGATCATTGAAGGACAGAATGTGGGTTACATATCATGACATGAATGCTTACATTATTATGCAATAAAACCAATACTGGCCAAGACACCAAATGCATCTTCAAAATTGGTGCCCTCAAGCCAGCAGTCCACTAGAGCAAAGCTGCATTCAAGGTACAGGCTTATATGATCCCGAAAGTCACTAAGCAGTTTGTTTTAGACACCATATAACTTCTAAATCAGCTATATGTAACAAACTTAAACTGAAAGCTCAATAGAAAGGTGTAGAAGAGGTGAAGGGGTTTTTCACCTCATCTACATTCCTTGCTAAATTTTTAAGTATTATTGTTACAACTAATGCTAAGTTGGCCTCTGCTATTCCAAAGCTAGTTGATTGGCCGTACTTCTTAAATTCATGACAATTAATAATTTACTTAACCATCTAAATGTTATTTTACAAATTGAATACAATCTGGATCCAATTCATTTGCAAACTACTGAATAAGATAGAAAAAACTGCCCCCCCATAAAATTCACTTTATATGTCTACATCTGTACACCAAGTCTTTCTTGAATTACAAATGGATTCAAATTTTCTACAAATAATTGTCACATTTTTTTCCTTTTCAGTGTATCTTGTCCATTAAAATCCTTGCTTCTACAAGGAATCACAAGAAAATGGAGCTGCTACAAGTACATTTTAGTGAGTTTCAACTCTTTTGCTTTACAAAAAAATATATAAAAATTGCTCAGCAGCTATTTCACATAAAGCTGCTAATCACTTAATGAGTTTTCTGCTAGCGTTTTTTCTTTTTTCTGTATGGCATCAAACTTTTCCTGATAGATTTTCCAACTCACCAGTTTCATCACTTTTATAACCCTCATTGCAAAAAAAAAAAAAGGAATGATCTTCTCTATATTTTGCGGGCAAGGCAGAGAATATTTTTGCTTTTTTGCTTGAAAGTGTCATCACTTTACAAAATGTAATGATATATATGTGGCTAACCTTCAAATAAGATATGCATAGCTTTCTCATGGTATTCAATGGAATATGTTTAACCTGTACTTTTGGCAGACACATATTAGACAAGTATGTACGTCAATACAAAACAAGTGAAAAGTAAGACATTCAGAGGATACAACACTAGAAAATGTCTTATGACTGTATTTAATACCATGCCATTAAAAATATAGTGCCTAACATAATCAGTATGACAAAAGGAATTTTGATTAGTGTTCAGCTTCCTATTTTCTACAATCTTATGACAACTTTGAAACTTTCATAATGTAAAAATTAATGTCAAATACAGTAATTATACCATTGCATAAATTTTTGAAGTAAACTAGAATCAGCAACAGTTACCAAACTTCTGCAGGACTAAAATTTTAGCGCACACTGGGAAGGTTGTATTTAACACCATTGATTATAAAACTGCCTTTGTGTTATGTGAGCAGCTATATTTTCTATGGCATAGAATCAAGTTTCTTAAGTTATGCCTTATAAAGGCAAATTCAAATTTCAGCTTTCATCAAAATGCTTTAAACTAAGGAAGTAGAATCAAAAAATGTGTCAGAGCTGACCTTCATTCACTTTAGGACACAGACAAAAATCAAATGATGTACTTTCCAAACACCTCAAAATTCTTACTCATACATGCACTTACCAACAGTTACAAAGTCTAAAACTGGTAATTTTCACCATAAAAATCAACACTTATATCCATTCAAGATTTGCAAACATGTACCACCTGCTAATACATCAATCAATTGAAGCCCTCTCCCCCTCCCCCCAAGAAAGCCCTTGAGCATTTGGACTAACACATCAATCAGTTGAAGCCCACCAACCCTTCCCCCCCTCAGGAAAGCCCCCAAGCATTTTAACTTTTGAAGATTGGTTAGTTCAAATTACCACCCCACCCTTTCAGACTAAAATAGGGTGTTCAAATGCCCCACCCAAGGTTGGATTTGATGACCAATTTCTTGGGAGAAAGGCATGATCAGGTATAGTGTTTTTCTTGTGGACCTTTTCTTCTGAGCCATCTGCTTGTGAAAGTGAACTCTGTGCCTTTAAGCACTTCCATATTAAAAGATAAAACACATGTGATCTGGTGGAGAGACTTGACAGTTCCAGTATCGAATTGGCTCCTAGGGGATTTTAAAGCTTCAAATTGATTGGTGCACGAGGTACAGTTGAAAACACTAAATGACCAAGGAAACATAGCCTGCTGTTGAAATGCAATGCCTTCTGGGAAAAAATTGAAGTCATTAAAATTTTCTGAAAATTGAAAACTAACATCAATGTCCTGTTAGAATTTCTGATTTCACTTCCTTGTCTGCATATAACTACTAATATTATTATACCTACATTGTAAGAGTTAGTTCACTAATTGTGGTGATCAGGGTGAGTATGCGGGAGGTGGAACATCTGAGATACTGTCGGCAGGTACCATGGAGTACATCAGCTCAAGGGATAGCTCTTCATCAGATTGAGTTCTTTCTCTCATGCGGTGTAGATAACAGTGCATAACTAAACTCAATGCAGTTGCCAGTACTGATGATCCTCCTGCAGCCACCACAAGACAAAAACTGATCTCAAATTTAACTTTGGCAGGATCACTACTGTCCTCTTCACCAACTTCTTCAAGTATCCTTGTCACCATGTAAACAATAATGATTGTAGCAACACACATCACAACTGCAGAAAAATTGAACCGCAGCTGAAAATTACTGTTAACTGACTTCATCAAGTAATTATATTTTATTATACAATAGACTTACTATGAAATATCTGATTGGTTGAGAGCATATAGCATGTGAAGTTAATATGATGACTGCAATATCTGCAGTGGATATTGCATTTATTATGTTGAGTTCAAAGTCTGCCAAGTTTCCCAGCCTCTCATCTGTGCAGTGTTCTCAAACTTTTGCAGACTCAAACAGAAGTGTCTTCTTTTGCAATGTGTTTTAAAAATGTATGAATAAAACAATTACTGAATTGGTTTTTGCACCACATCATGCATTATCAAACCTTGTGTCTGATTTATCTACCTCAGCCTTAGGCTTCAGCAGCTAAATATCCACCATCAATTTTTTCTTCATTTTTGATGTAATTTACAGTTGTAGCTGTGATTACCAACGTCATCAATCCTTATATTATCCAAATAAAAAATAACACATGAAAAACAATAGGAACAATAAACAGTGTTTCAGTGTCTTCAAGATATTAAGTATTTACCTATATAACTTGACAATGAGGACAAAACTATGTTGTGAATACTAGTTCAGAATCATGAATAAAGGGGGTAATTTTCTAAAGAACTGTGGTGCTGTGTTCCCCATTTGCTCTGACAAAGGGCTAATGCTTGAAATATCAGCTTTGAAACTCTAACTGGTGGCCTATTTACATTTCTCTATCAACTCAGTTGATAAAACCAAAATTATCTTACTTAGAATTAGATTGATTAGAAGTCTATCATCAGACAAATTACACCTGTCATATATTTCTACTCAATAACAACACTTTCTTACTTATCAACACAAGACATTGATTCTTACCTGTAACTACATTTCCAATAGAATAATCCTTGACTACTTTGAGACATCTGTTTAATGTGCCACACAAATCCAGCAAACAGGCAAACATGCTAAACACAATTCCCACACAACTTAGTGCAACAACCAGTCGTAAGAGAAGTACAATGGTGCTTGTGTAACAGTATGAAGCTGTAAACAACAATAAAAGATTCTAAATACTACAGAAAACTGCACCCACTCCAAACATGCCATATCCCCTGTCCATAACTATTGAGAAACCAAACATTTCCATGTCCTCCCCATTTATATAAACAAACATTACAAGGGTGATAACAGATGTTAAAATTCTACATGACCATAGTACAATCAGAAATTTCCCCCTTTCCCAAAAATTAAAAGAAATTGATACTTTATGCAAAAAAAAACCAAAAATCCCATCAAACCAGTGGTAAGAATAAAAAACAAGTGCATGGGAGTAAAAAATAAGCACTCTTTTCTTAAAGGATGAGAATGCAAAATTAACAGCAAACAAGGCAGCTTGAAACCATTAAGAACTTCAATACCCCCAAAAAAGGTTTTTTTCCTTCAAGTTGAAAAATTTTTTAGATCCCAAAATTTCTTTAATTCATGCTTTGTATATGTGTATACTTGCAATCACATGCTTTGATTATGTATTCTCACCTTTTACAACTCAAATATAAATTATTTAAGGTAGCCTTTTCATAAGTGGGACTAGAATGCTATTTCTGTGGTGATAACTGTTGGAACCCATCACTTGCAAGAATAAACAACATGGGGCACAAGACACAAGTATACATCAGCACAGAGGTAGCAGATTTACCACAACTGGCTGTTGGGTAGCAACTTGCTGTACCAGCACATGCTTGATTTTAAATTTGCAGGGTGCAGAAGACACAAGTTTATTTGAGAGCTAACATGGAGTATGCCTTGCTCAAATATATCCACAACTTGACTCTAAATGTCTTGTTTGCATTTTACTTGGCATACCCGCTATTGGCATAAGCAATGTAGACGGCAGTTGGCAGGTTTGAGTCTTGACACGTTTTATTAAGGATCAACCAACATTTTTTCTTAATCAAAGACTTAAAAACATACCGAATTATTTCAAGTAATGTCCTTCTGATCGACCAAAAATCACCCATTAACTAAATATCTGAAAATATGAAGTCAAAATATTTTTGATTCTATCCATGAACAACTGAAAACAGCTTCTTTCAGTAACGATGTGACCTAAGAAATATTCAGAATTTTGAATTTAGTAGAGCAACAATTAAGGTATCCATTTCCTTAATAACATTTAATCCGTTTGAAAGAAAAAAATGGGTCAGTGGAGAAAAAGTTTTCAGTCGTCTCCGTAGCGATCGAATTGGTCATCGCATTATCGTTAATCAATTTAGCAGCTAAACTTGCACTATCTCTTACAAAGGTTGAAGAAAATTAATTGGAGACTGTTGTGACAACTGATCGGATATAAAATAGGTTTTTGCAAATAATACAAAAGATCAAGGAGTTTAAGAAAAAGCAAATGAGGAAGTAGCAATTATGATCAACTTCGTTCAAATGACATAATTTGGAAAGGGTTTCCACATAACATGTCAAATTCTTCTAAGGCTTCACATCAGACTTACTCAGTTCCTCGGGGTGTTTATATGCAATGACTTTGTACAAGCCAATGTACCTTCCTTCGCACTTTCCACTGACGATGTGAAGCCATTTCGGTTCTGCCTCTGCGATTGCAAGAAGCACAGCGGATGCAAGGGCAAAAAATGCGGAAAAGATGTTACGTTCGTATTCTGGTTTTGGGCGACGTGAACTCCGACGATTTCTGGATCGACGTCTTAAATGACTACTGTGATTTGGGAAATATAAAGGTCTCGGTAGCATTCCAAAACAGCCACGATCTCCCAGGTTTCTCTCCTTCAAGAAAAGTCCAAAACAGGGCTAAACAATATGGCAGCTCAGCGAAGTGAAAATATGTTATGATTGCGTGAATGCACTGGGTCGGGTTACAGTCTGATCACGTGACAAATTTGGTTCGTTTCTAGAGAAACTTGGTTGCGTTGTTGGGGAAGTACGTACATCACGATAATTTGGTTTTAACACCTGAGTTGATAATCAGCCACCGTAGAGAGTTTCAAAGCTAACGTTTCGATTGTTAGCCCTTCGTCGGAGTGAAGGGAGGGATGGTGGCTTTCGTGTATGTGTGTGTGTGCGTGCTTAAATGCAGAAAAGAGAGCCACGCTGTTGGTGGGAACATGGTGACCTCTTTTTAGCAGGGCTAACAAAAACCAAGACACCAACCGACAGCACTTAAGCACTTAATCTCCCCCCCCCCCCCCCCCCCCCCCCCCCCCCCCCCCACCGAGTTCGGGTCCATCGCACTCCTAAAGATTAAATGAGAAGTACCATATTTCCTTTATCTTTTTCCTTGCATTGACAGTCTTACTACAGCCTTTTATTCAAATGGACGCTATAAAACATGGAGCATAAAAAGAAAAAAAGGAAATGATGAAATAGGGAACACGTAACAGATCCCAACAGTCCAATCTCAAATACCCCCTTCCTTCACAAAATATTAATTTGAAGTGGTTCATTCCAGTTCCGTTTTTCCTTTAAGAAGACATAGAAGAAATTTTTTTGTTTTATTTTTCGTGGTGTTAATTGGAGTTCCAGTCTCACCTTGCAATGCGTCGACAACTGTTAGTCATGTTTTAACATGACACTTAAAAGTGTTATATATATATCTCCGATTGGTGACCCGCTACCTCGTGGCTGGGAAGAGGGCACAGCTTTTTTAAATTTTTTTTTGTACTGTTAAGTAATGCTTGATCTGTAACTAACATCTCAAGACGGAAACTTTGAGACCCGTGCGGAGGAATTGCACGTTGTTGTTGAAATTGCGTGAAGTGTTATCGCTACCGCTTAATGTTTACTTAAAATGCGGGCTCATGTTTAAGAGTATTGAAAAACTCGTGACAGCGTCACAGACGGAAGCAAAGGCAGTGAGGTTCGTTATTTTTCTTTCGCTCCTTGGGCTGAAAGGGTTGCGAACGTCTTCTGATTTCTTTAACTTTGCTTTTTTATCTAAAATCCGTGCAACTGTTTGATCCAGAGCTCTTACATGTGGGTTCAGTTTCCGATATGCTCTCTCTTTGTGAAGGGTATTTATCTAAAACAATGATTTTAGGCTATTTTCATCTTGGATCAAGTTAAGCGAGTATTTAGCAAGTTCTGCATACTCACTCTAAGGCTTAAAGCAATATAATTTATACTAATCTCGGCTATAGACTTTTTGTTTCAAAAGTCAGGCGAAATTTTGCAAAATTTGACCGCCAAAAGACGAGAAGCTTATGTTGTTACGTTAGAACTTCATCTTCCGGTGGATATTTCAAGTAGTTGTTGAACGTTCTCAGTTACTTTAATTGGTAAATGTTACGTAGAAAGCGCCCATGGTACTTCTGATTGCATTCCGTTTTTTTTCTTCAGTTATTTTAATTCATTTTTTGCACTTTCTTACCAGAGAGTGTCAGGGTGATAGATGCCTTCGCATAAAGGACGATTTAACACTCAGTAGGAATTTCTGAGGGTAAGTAAACATTCTCAAATTGTTCTCAGGATAGTTATGCAATCTTGGGATGGGATTGCAGTGATCAGACTCCATCAGGATTTTATTTTATATGTTTTTTTCCTTTCTGTGCTTTACTTAATTACGTTCTGCTAATCTCGACCACCGAGGTAGCGGTTTTCGCTTTAAAACGAGTTGACGAGTCAATTATTATTGTGTCAAAATGAACCCTTTGAACATGACCTTGCGTACGTAATTGTTTAAAAAATTCTCCTCGATCATATGATTTCCTCGTGCTATTTGGAGAAGCATACTTGAAAAGTTTCAGAACGTGATGCAATGTAAATGAAATGAATGCCTTTTAATGATTAGATAATTAATATTTCGTGCTACGTACGTTTCGAGCATCTAGTGTTTTGAAAGATGGCTACGCTTATGATTACTGTAGAGTTTGGGAATGTGTCAAATACTTGTGCATCAACGCAGTTGTTAAACGAGAATTTCCTGATCCTCTTAGACTGTGGGTATGAATTTCACTTTTGATACAAATATGTACATGTATAAATTTGTCACTGTTCTATCAGTTCTTGGAAGGCTGCATGTGAGATGTCGATTTGCAGTTCAAAACACCGTAGCTGATATGTCCAGTAGAACCCTGCCTAACGGCCACCTCAATAATTCGATCACATTGTTATTATGGCCACTTTTTCCGGCCTAGGAAAGCTGCCGTATGTTTTCTTGCAAAAAAACCCTTGTTAATGCGGTCATCTGTCAATACAGCCAATGGCCACATTTTAAAACCCCTTACAGTAGAATCCATTCATAATTTCACCTACTTAATATGGCCACTAGCATTTAATTTATATAACCAAAACGCCTGTTACACGTCAATTTCATTGATCTCTGTCATTTACTAAGCAATTAAAGCCACTTTATTTAGAGAGGAACAATACTCTTCCTGTTTTCATTACCAACATGATAAAGGAATAAATCTTGGAGGTAAAATCTGCTTAGGCAACTTGAGAAGTGATTAAGACTTTTTTTTTTTTTTGACCCATTGGTGATGGTAATAAAAGGGAAGCTTTGGGATTTTTGGTTTCGCGGTTTTGGCTATTTTTTTAGATCCGTTTTTTGGTTTTGTGCCAGAAAACTACGGTTTCTCAATTTTGGTTTTCATTGCAGTTTGTGGATTTTCTATTTTTTAGCATTTGGTATTCAGTTTTCACAAAAAATATTAACTGGTTTTCGGATTTGATATCCAATGTGGTTTTTGGTTTTTCCCATTTGACCTTTTTGGGTTCCGGTTTCTCTTCAATCTGAGCAGCAATTACAAACCTCCACTGATCTCGAATAGCAGCTAAACATAAATGTTATAGAGAAGAATGACAAACCAATTGAAATATCACAGGGATCCCTAGGTAGCCTACATGTAGCCGTACCCTGCCCCCTCAAGGTGGGGGGGAGGGAAGGATATGGCTAAGCACGAAACATTGCTAGGGTTTCTTTATCAATGCCACCTCAAAGTTGGTGACCAAGTTACAGGCCACATGTGACTGATTAATTCAACAATCCAATAGAATCTCCAAATTTTCAGGTCTTAGTTCACAATTGGAAATGTTAGATTAGGGATTTTCGATTAAACTTTATCAGAGCTATGGCTTTTTGTGACTGCAAAATTGCAAACTTATAGAGGACTTTTGTGCGAACTTCCTTAATTTAGCTAGGCTCCATTACCAGCTGCTGAGTCTGCAGAGACCACATTCAAGCTCCTCGAGAGAGCAGCTCTTAATTTAAGCAGATACTAGAACATATGAATGCCAAGTCCATGGCATTCATAAATCCTCAATAATTCATTAGTATGCTCCACTTGTCACCATTGTATCAGGTCGATCAGGGTTTTAATAACCAGGATGTGAAAATGTATTGCTTTTGACAGTTTTTATGCAGTTTTTGGTTTTGATCGAATTTTTTTCAGTTTTGCGGTTTTGGATGATTTTTCCTATGGTTTTGTAGTTTCTAATAGGCCCCAATGCCCCCCTCTAGTCACAGGATTCCACTATATATTCAGTGATTAAAAACAATCTGATGAATGATTGATGGCTAGTCCAGGTTGGAAAAATATTAGGAAAAAAATGTAGACTTTGAAGTGAAGATAATTAGGATTTCTTCTTGCTGGTATATGTCTTAGATTTAAAGGATCTTAACAGCTTTTTAGTTTGGGACTTACTGTTATCACATGCATTTTCTCATCTTGATTGCCCAGTAGTTCTCAGATGATCTGACCATGCTTTAAAAATTTGCTAAGTGGTAATTCTTTTGAAATTAAACCAACCAGCAAATTGATAATACTAGAACTGTTTCTGTAATTTT